ATCAATTTGTATATTAATCTTTAAAATTCAAATTTTTAAAAATAACTGTTTCTTGCTATTCATTTCCATTTTGGCAATTTATGATCTCTAATAATTGCTTGTTTTGTTAATGGCTTTGGCAATTGTACTGCTGAGTTGTCCAAATAAAGCAATTTTCTGCCCTGAAAGTGGTAACCATCTCAGTATTTATCTCCCAATTTGGGAGTAAAGGGAAGTAAGTAATGCTGACATTTTTTTCTTAGTATATTTTGAAAATCTAACAAATATAAACATTCCAGATTAAGAATATCAAAAAATTTTCTTCTTTTCTAAATTTTATAAGTTTTAAGAGTGCAGTTCAGTTTGTATTATATACTATTACCTATGAACACTAATGGGTATGTCCCAATGCTTGTAAATACGTTGGACACTATAGCAAGTGGGGGTAATATGCTAAGTAGTCCACCACTAGCAGTGGTCTACCTACTTCATGCCACTGGCGAGTATTGTATTTTGTTGATGTTATAAAGATTACCATTTCATTCCCAACCTCTGTTCTGTTTATTCCTCATTCAGTGACCTTTTCTAGGTTATAACACTATGTAACTTCATTGGAAACATAAGCCAAAATATATATATATATATATATATATATATATATATATATATATAATATCACATGATAAAGCTTAGGCTTACTTACATTACAAAATTTCCAATAAATTCATGTTAAAATAAAAAAGTAAATATTTAAATTATTTAAAGCATATTCTTGCTTACCTTTTCCCTTTATTATTAATAATTATTTCCCCTTACATTTTTTTTTTTTTTGCTTGTGCCATGGGCTCAATTTACTATAAATTTAAATAGTAAACTAGACTCCCTCTTTAAAATTAGAAAATTAAAAAAATATATTTTTTGGAGCTGAATCAATAAGAATTTGAAAAAACAAAATGATTATTTCTTAGAGAGGTACATATTCTGCAGAAACAGCTAAATTATAATACAACATGATATATATTTATTCAAAAATTATAATATAAGCATGTTATAACATCCCTACAAAAATAGCCATTTTGTTTCAACACTTCTAGTGCCTTGTGAAATGATGGTGTTGATTGCAATGAAATAAATCACTACCAAAATGGTTAAATCTTTTGAAGCACACTAATTATAACAATTTTGAATATAATTTCATAACAAATGCAGATTTCCCAAAGAAAGTACTGTGTAGCACAGCAGAGAAAAGGCATAGAACAGGTACCATTGCAATTAAAGAACGAATATCTGTATTTTATGGCCATATTTTTAAAACCATTACAGACTGTAGTACTTATGACAAACCTGTCTATATTTCTGAGATGAGGTATTATGTACACTATTTACATTATTGGGACTATTGTCCTCATCTTTGTCACCATGTTTATTTTGAAAATGTTTACTCCACTGAAATTTTTGGCCTTCTTAGGGGGTTGGAAATGGAACTGAACCCTTTATTTTCCTCACAGGGGTAGACTGAGGACACATGTCACAGTGGATAAAGGTATTAGTTAGATCCAGTGACAGGACCTATGGATTGTGAGTTCAATACCCAAAAGGCAGTGGAGAACTTTCAGAGAGGAATTAACAGGAGGTAACTGACATCCATTAGACATGGCACATGGAAATAGAACAGTCTACCCCTGTGAGCAAAATAAAGGGTTCAGTTCAACATTCCAACCACCTGAAAATTTTGTCGGAGTGTAAATCCGAAAAAATATTGTGATAAACATGACAATGAAAAAAGATGAATACAACAATCCAATTATGACAAACCAAACAAAAAAATAATACTATTGCAAGGGACTTTTGCAAATGAATCTATGAAATCCCCCCCACTCTACATCTCAAATTTCATGAGTATTCATGTAGAATACAAATTTTACTGTAACCTAATTATGTACAGTAATGGATCATATGCAACATAGGTAAACAATTCAATTGAAAATAAATACAATGCATCTAAATACAAATTAGAGACATGTCATAACAGATTATTCCATCTTAAATAAATCAACAATGTTTTGTGGCAATTTTTAACATCAACTTGAGAGTTTTCTTGTTAAAAAGTTAACTAATTTAACACACCCAACATTATGAATAAAAAATACTGAATTTTTTATAGTGTTTTTTTTTTTTTTTTTTTTTTTTGAGACTTAACATGAGCAAAACAAATTCATGGATTTGGACGAAAAAAAAAAAAGACTCTAGTCTAGAATTATGTCAAAATCTGTAAAAAATTTTCATCCTTTAATAATAGATGTGTAATAGTTTGTAACTTATAAATGTAGGTAGAAAAAGCAAATGTTGAGGGTTACTAAGTACTGCCCGGGACCCCAATCAGGCTGGTCTTGGTAGATTGTAGTACTTTAAAACCATTTTGTTTTTTACAGATTGTAAGAATTTTTTGGAGATAATAATGATTTACCGATACATATCCTACTAATTTGAACCAATAGCTTGGGGAAGACGTCGTACACTCAGGCTTTTTCCAAGGGTATTTGTACGTAAGTGAATATAAAGAACCTCACTGGAATTAGAACCCGGATCTGATACCTGGGTTGTTATCCATTACACTAGCCGCACATCCAAGCTTAGAACACTTGGTATTCCCAAGAGGTCATCCATCTAGGTAATTACTAAGCTCAATGTTATTTAACTTTGATGATCATACAAAAAAAACAAGAGCCAATTATTAGTGATATGGCCGTAAGCCTACAGTACTTATGATAAACCAGTGTAGTACTTTAACTTTATGATACAATCATTGCAGATTATAATCCTTAAAAGTAACCATTGCTGTATGACAAATAATTGCAGTACTTAAAACCATTGCAGATTGTAGTACTTATGATAAACTCTGTTTTAAAGATTTGTCATGATGTCTGTGTTGTAATCAACAATGTAAGATTTTGTAATCCTAGGTTTTTAAAGGATTAAATTTAAAAAAAAAAAATAAGAAAGGCAACAAGCTTTAAAAAGTTTAAGTTCTACATTTTTCAAATTTATACAGAATGCATTCTGTAAACAAACGTATAATAATCCTGGTTTACTGCATGAAAAGGGTAACAGTGTGATAAAAATGATTCCACATTTATTTTTACTGCATGAGATAATCCTGTTTTCTGTGTTTTACTGCATAGAACAAACATAGATTGAGAAAGACTAAAAAAAGTAAACAGACAAGATAAAGCAGCTTTTAAAGCTGAATACACTAAGAAAGAGAGAGAGATAGATAGATAAATAAATAGACAGATACCAATTATGATAAAACAGTGAGATAGAGAGAAGAGTGGGGAAAAACAAATTTTCAAATAATTTGAATTTCTAAATAAAAACATACATTTTTCTGAAAAGCAATGTAATACTATTATTATTTAACCGGCTTAATACAACACCAATATTAGATAATGTAATTAAATTCCAAAAGTTTGTAAATCTCTTTAAAAAAAAAAAAGATTGATGAATGAAACAAATCCCACAATTGATCAAGTGCAAGTACAAGAAAAAATAAAATTAACTCAAACTGTTACTAATTTCATTTAAGGGGAATTACACAAACTTCTGATAAAGTACTTTTGGGTCATAAATAAATGAAGACTGATAATAAAAAAAATGAAAACGAAATGTAGTTTTTTACAGTACACTCTGAGAACATTCCTCATTAAATACACTAGGTAACAATAACAATTAATTAATATAAGTAGTAAACAATTTAAATTATTATTGATTTTGTTTTGATAGTCTGTTTTTCTTTTTCTAAAAATATTTAGCAAGAAGCCCTTATTTTTCAATGTAAAAGTACAAAAAGAAAAGAAAAGTCGATTCGTGATAAAAGAAAAAGGATTTCATTTATTAAGTGATATGAATTGTTTACTACCTGATTTTTAAATCATTTTTCCCCCCAAAAGTAAGGATTATTTTTCTTTTCTTCATCCCAAATCGCTATCACCTGTGAAAAAAGATCCAGTTATTTTTAACAGAGTTTAAAAATTAAAGTAAAACGTCTGCATATTGGTACAAAAAACTTAACAGGTGGTGATAAAAAAAGAGATAGACCTAAATTTTTTAAGTGCGTTTACTACTTTAAACATTTAACAATGATGAAATATTGCACGAAGTCTTCAAAGGCAAGCACTTAGTTAAGTGAAACAACGATAAACTATGCTATGCATCATAAGTATTTCAGAAATATTCATTCTAAATTTAGGCTGTATATAGATAAGTTAACTAAGTTACTAACTCACAATAAAATGACATGTACCACGACACGTCATTAGATTCCACATCACTTCTTATGACACCCCCATGCCTAAATTAAAAGATTCTTTTTAGCCATTTTCGTGTTAGATATATACTTCAAAGACAATACTGACGACTCATGCTTTATTTAAGGGTAAGGTAATGACATAGGGTTAAAAAAATATATAAATTAACAACGTAAACTTTAATTATCACTTGTCATGATTATTTTAAAAAAATCATAAATACGGAAATAAGTATTGTATAAAAATTTCACAGAAATTATCTTTTAAAAAAATAAATGCATAAATAAATACATAAATACTTTAGTTTAATATTTGCCAACGTCTACAAAATTCATTGAATACGAACTTAAAGACTCAATTATTTTCCTATTTTTATAAAGAAAAAAAAATCAATTTCTATTCTTTCTCTTTCTTCCTTCCTCCTTTCTTTCCTTCCTCTAGAGACTTTTTACATTTATATTGGTTATAATCTCAATTATTTATACTCACTGTTAAATCAGCAGTATTTTCTATTGTAGTACTGGATTAAATTAATTACCTTTGGCTATATAAGATAAGAATTTTTAAAAAATTATTTTAAAAAACTGTGCTTGAGTTTCGAATCTTGAAACGTGAAAACGTTTGCACTTTTGTTTCTTCAGGCCGAATGCTATTTACTACGCGAATGATGTTCCGTAGCTGAAATGGGTCGATTTTTATCACTTCCGGCACGTAATGAATATCGAATGGTTGACCCGGGTGGGGTCAAAATCAACCAATCAGAAGACGCGTCGCCGAGGCCTTGACGTGGCATATGCAACGCCATCTTCTTTGCTTGGTGCGCCATCTTGGTCGGTTAGACTGAAGAGATAAGTCCGTGCGTTAACATTCGGACGTTTACGTTGTTGCTGCACGCATCCACCTGACCACGCCATAACAAGTTAAGTAAAGCCAAGTATTGTTTTCGAAGTATTGTCTTTTATACAACCTTCGTTATCGAAATGATTTTTGCTTGCTTTTTTTTTCCTACCCCGTATGTTTGCCTCGACCGCCTCCACGGTACTGTTCGTTTATATTACCACCTAAAATGGAGGGGCGTTCCTTGTAGTAAAATGTTATAGGATGAGCTTTTTCTCTTCGAAATTATTTTGTCATATGTCTCTTTTACCTTATTTCTCTTAAGAACGAATAGCGTTTACAGAGATATCTGTATAAGTAATATTAACACATATCTTAAATGACTCCATACTACTAAAAGCGACTGGTGATACAACACTATGGCGGCACTATCGTTCACAACCGCTCAACACCATGGAAACCGTAATTTTGTGTTTTCTGTATGACTTTGCCTTGGCTGTAATATTAAAATTATAAAAAACATGATTATGTATATTAATTCCAGTCGAAATTACTTTTTTCTTTTCTAAACGTTCGCGGCATATTGCCAATATGTGTATTTATATATGTATGCGTTTACTGTGTAGAATCTCTATGATGGCGGTGTGTCCTGCGTGTATGATTTTTTTTTTTTCTTTCCTTTTTTTAATAATCCAAATTGGTTATTAATTGTCGGCAATAAAGTCTTTGTTTATATCCTACGTTACTTTTCTCTGTATATGTTAATGACTTACCGGTGTTTTAAGTTAAAATGGACTAGTTGAGTGTAACTAACCTGTAGTGTTGGCTGCTGATGCGCTTGTAGTGAATATCAAATTGATACTATATTTAAATTGTTTATCGTAAATTTAACTTGTTTTAAATGCCCTTATTAAAGTTTTTGCATTTTTTCCAAGATGCATTTAACAAGGTTTTGAGGATTGTAATGAAACGCTTTCGGAATAAAAATGCTTCATAGTTATTTTTTTGTCTTTTTCGAGACACGTCAGTAAATGTTCCTGAAAATTCTCATTGAATAATTTAATGTTTCCATTTTGGAGAGGTAAACTTTCTATCTTGTATAAATTTTTAAATTATTTTTATTTAAAGCAAGATAAATTAACTTTTATATCGAAGTGAAACTTAATGTAGAAAGCTAAATTGCATTTTCTGAATATATGCTGAGAATCTCAAACAATTCATTTTAAAAATTGTATATTAGTGTCATTTTCTCTGGATGTGACACCAACCACTTCCTTGTACATTTTTATCTTTTCTTTTTCTTTTTAAATTTAGAATAAATATTTCATTACCGTCATAGTAATTCATAGTTTTTCTCTTCCATTAACAGCTGTAGCTTTTTTGAACTCTTCTGCTCCAATAGGGGAGGAAGACCTTGAATTTTATTACTAGTATTACAGTTACACGAATATATAGGGTTCGGTTAACTTTTTTTTTAAATTTCTAATTGAAATATTCTCATTGTCTTTGACAACTTTCTACTACCTATACAAAACTTCCGCCCATTCTCAACAATTGTTTCATGTACTCCCCCCCCCCGTTAATGTATAAACTTATTGACAATTGCATAGTATCTCGAATTCGTGTTTTCGAATCTACTCCTTCGATTACGACTTTTTTAACAATATTGGTTTTGTAATTTTGACTATCGGCTTCAGAAAAGTAACTTCTTGAACAAATATTTTTCTTTATTGTCGCATATCATTTGAACTGCGTGATCAAACAGGTTAAAGTTCATTTTTTTTTTTTTTTTCCCCTCTTAATTGATTTGACCTCATTTTTATCGTTTATTTTATTTTCCTGTGAAACTTGTTCCTCAAACATCCCTCATCATTGAGGCAGGGAGTGTCCTTACCGAGTCACTTTGTACAGAATTTATGAAACCGATTTGTAAGCTATTTAGAATCGTTTCTACAAGTAATTGTCTAAGTATATTAAATTTTTATTTATGATATTGCATCAACACTTTTATGAGAAAATATTTGCCCGCAAGGTAATTAAAGCAGTGATGAATTGTTCTGATGTATTGCAGATTAATGCCTCTTAATTCGAGACTGAAAAGTTTTCACCAGGTGTTACCACTTCAGTGTATAAAAAAAAAAAACACCTGCCAACATAGTACTGATTCCGGTTATCTGTCCAGTTTCATGGCACGATGACGATATCGGTCGCTGTGCAATGAATGGACAAGTGCACCAATATATACACAACACTATTGAATGAAAATTGAAAAGTATTAACGTTTAAAATGCGTTTAAATTGTCAGCGTGTTACAACTGCTGACTTATTTGTACTATTGAATATTCAGTTTTTTTTTTTTTCTTTTAAGAATTTAATCCATGGCTATTAATAACTAATTTTTCTTACTCGTGATAATTTTCTATTCACCCCCCCACCCCGCTTGGTATTCTATTAAACATTAATTAACCTCTTCACCTTACTATATTTCGTTTATCAAGTGGCAATTTTCACATTCCAATTGTTCAAGTGAGTTAATTTGTTTTCAAATGTTTTTTCTTCTAGACGCTTACAAAAAAAATTCAACATGGGGAACATATTTGAGAAGCTTTTTAGGGGTCTATTTGGAAAGAAAGAAATGAGAATCTTGATGGTTGGACTCGATGCAGCTGGAAAGACAACAATATTGTATAAACTGAAACTAGGAGAAATTGTGACCACTATACCAACTATTGGTGAGTAATTTATGAACAGTATTGTCAAATGTAAAAGTGATTGATTTGTAAGATTTTTATACAATTTTGATTTGTGATTGACATTGTAAAACCTCTTTTCATTTGTTTGAATTGTAGGATTTAATGTAGAAACTGTAGAATATAAAAATATCAGTTTCACAGTTTGGGATGTTGGAGGGCAGGACAAAATCCGACCGTTATGGCGCCATTATTTCCAGAATACCCAAGGTAGGTACCTTTTTTCTTGTTTTAATCTTGTTTGATTATTAGCTGGCAATTTTATATTGTTTGTTACTTTTGTTTTCCCCCCACTGTATAAACCTTCAGAAAATTTAGCTGTTAACTTCATTTGAGTTTAAGAAATTCTTGGCACTCCAAAAGAATTGGATTAATAAAATATTGAAGTATTAAAAGCAATTTTAAGTATACTGTCTAAACATGTCAAGCTTCAGAATATAATTTTTACATTTTTTCAGGTTTAATTTTTGTTGTGGATAGTAATGACAGAGAACGAATTGGTGAGGCTAGAGATGAACTGTCGCGGATGCTCGGTGAAGATGAACTGAGAGATGCAGTGTTACTAGTATTTGCTAATAAACAGGTAAGATGTTACTTTTCTCCAGTCTTGTATGACTAATATTCTGTAGACTTTACAAATTGATCCTTATCTTAAGAATAACTAGACTTTTATAAATTTAACTATAGCATATTAAAGGTTGCTAGGGCTTTCATGAAAAATGGTGACGAATAGACTACTGCTTTTATATATATATATATATATATATATATATATATATATATATATATATGTATGTATTCATAATTTTACTACAGGTACAGCATGTTTGTAAGTCTTTTGTTTATATTAAAATATACATATTAATGATTTTTACACAGGTATTACCTGTGGCAGACTTTCAAGGGTAAAGTTGAAATGCTGTTCTAGAATACACAAGTAAAGGCTAAAATGAATTTTATTTCCCTAATTGTGCTGAGTTAAATTTAAATGTTATGAACCTCCTTTATATATTTAATGGAATTTTTCCTCTTCCTACTAGGATTTACCAAATGCAATGAACGCAGCAGAAGTTACTGACAAACTCGGGTTGCATTCTCTGCGCAATAGAACCTGGTATATACAAGCAACATGTGCCACCAGTGGAGATGGATTATATGAAGGGCTTGATTGGTTGTCAAACCAACTGAAAAATTCAAAATAAATTGGAGAAAATATAAGTTTGTAAGAATTCCAAAAGTGTCTCAGCCTGGAGGTTGACTGGTACCTGTCAGATTGCAATCACTTTTGTCCATTCCTTCAGTTTTACATTGTCTGTACAGTCCATGTCCATTTGTTATTCAACTTCAGTGATGAAGCATGCTCTCTTTATTGAAAGGATGACCTCTTCACTGTGTAAAATAAATTAATAGCTCTTATGGTAAAAAAGCAAAAAAAAATTATATAGCTATGGACAATTACTAGGGGATTTTTTTCTTTTGGCAGCAGCAGTTTTTGGCAGCAGTCATAGTGGTGTTAGAGGACTGCTTCATTCAAGCATATATAAGATTCTATACTTTGACTGCTTCTATCACCACTGTGGATATGCCTGCTAGCAGCAGCCTTCTGGATTCATTAACTCAAGATTTTTTTTTCTCTTGCCTTGATAAACCACATGGATTTTAGTAACCAGTGGGTAAGGAATCATTAAATTTTCTCTCTAACCAAAAATCATGCAGAGCTGTTGAGCAGAAGGATATTTCATAACAACCAAAAAAAAAAAATTCCAGCTTGACATTGGTCAATATGCCTCCATTATTTGGCACCAACCTTAATTTTAAAAAACTGTTGGCTTTGTAAGTACAAACGTGAATAAAAGTACTATATGCCTACTCTAGTTGACTGTTACTACTACCTGTGTGCCTGTTCTATAGTCAGCATGCAATTCAACAGCAAATTTAGACATCCAAATGTCTCATCTGTTCCAGTTTCTGTAGTTGCCTTTTTTCTTTCCCACCCCCCACCTTTGAGGCTGGCTTTAGGACAACATTCCAACAATCTCCCTTGCCTCATTTATGGAAGTTGATTGAGTGGGTAGGTAAATGACTCCTTCTGCCTTAACTAAACCACCTGGCACAGCCTCTAATACCTCTAATATTCCAATGCTGCTGCTTTCCACCATACCCCCTGGCTTTTGACACTTCACTCCTCATTATTACTTGGTCATCTTGAATTGAAAATTACTACTGAATATATTATTTGTAAATGACGAACAGTTTACTTGGGATGGAATCTTTTCTTTCCTTTGGGTTGGGATCTTTAAAAAAAAAAAAAATTTAAAAAAATGGGTAGGAAATCACTTGGGATAGTTGACACCTGCAGCTAGCTATCAGGTTTTGTTAGTACCTAGGTAATTGGCTTTCATATATACCTAGCCACTTAGTTACTCTGACACCTCAGATTTTTGTTTCAACAACCAATGTTACATGCTTTTTCTTCTCCTGCTCCCCTATTCTCAATCCTAATGTTTGCTTGTTTGTAGTGGTGGTAAGGAGAGGGGTAGCTAAAGATTGACTGCTTGGTTTGGGTCCTCCTCCACCTACTGCTGCTGCTGCTGCTGCTGCTCTCCATTCCCCTTTCTTGTTTCCTAGTGAGAGCAACCTGCAACTACTGGAGTCCATGCACTGATGGACCACTGTCACCTACCATATTGTCAGGAATTATTTTAAGGGCAACCATTTTCTTTTTTTCTCCCAGTGGGTTCAATGCAAATCTGCTCATGCAATTTATGGAATGTGAGGTGACTGACTCTAACTTATACATAGTGGTTCTCGCATTTCATATGCATGGAATATTCAAATGTATACTGCATACAGATTTAATAAATATTTGAAAAGCCCTCCTTTTCATTGCTAATTCCTCTCAATTATTTGCTTATTTCTCACTATACTCTTTGTTTGGGCTTACTTTGCACTGCAACCCATTCACCACATTCCTTATATTTAATTGCTTTGTTTCTGAATACATTCTCACAGGTCTTGTTTTTATCTAAAATCAAGTAAGGATGATGCATGGTATCTTTGTTCACTTCGCAAAAAAAATTTAAACTTCACACACTAATCAATATTTCAGATTAACTTTTTGAAAATTCTTTTTTTCCCCCATGAAATGCCTAGTATCGAATCCACCCAGATGTTGAGGTGGTAAAATCTTAAATGTTGCTTAGGTAGTTTGTTGATTATTCTTGTAGCATATGGAATTATTTTGATGTTGCTTTGCAGTTATTTTTTTTTTTTTTTTTTTTTTTTTTATTATATGCTATTTCTGGACTGTTTATGTATGCTTCTTAATCTCTTCATGAGCAGGGGGAGGTGTTAAAACTTGCATTGTTTTAACCAAATTGTTGTCAAACAGTTGGAAATATAATTCAGGTTTATTTGGTACTTGAAAAAGTAGTGAACCAATTCATTGTTTGGTAATGGTGCTTTGATTTTATGGTTAGCAAAAAAGTGAATGAACAATTAAACCATCTTCATGCATTTCAGATTTTCAAAAAAATTCCATGCCATTTCTATTTAATATCTTAAAAATACTTTGTATTAATTGTACCACTTTTAATAATTTTAAATGCAGAAAGCTTTTTCACCAAAAATGTATTGAAGGATAATGGTTGTTCATCTTGAGTGTCTAATTTTAGGTCCTAAAACTACTGGACTTTCACTACATTAGCTTCTTTGCAGAATACTGTTCAGAAGTCAACAGTTCAAATATAAATAACTTAGAAATTTACTGTCACTAAGATGAGATGGAGAGGAAATGACCTTTTCAATGTCAAAAAGAACACATTGTGTAAAATAGTTCAGTTGACCCAGTTAAAGCTTGTTAAATTAAATGTTTTCTTTGCTCATTTTTTTTTATGCTAGTCTGATAGAAAAACTTCATTTCATACCTCTCATTGAATTAAAGTTAGCAATATGGGTACTACAATAGCTTACTGCTGGGTAAATGCACTTCTAATAATTCAAATTGGTACTTTGACTAACCAATGGAAGTCTTATGAAATTCAACTTAAAACTTTATTCTAGCATATGAAAATTGATAATTTGAAATATTGGTCAGTTGAACAGAACAATGGTAAAGATTGATTAGAGCAGCTCTATGGCAAGTTAACCTTTAATATTGTCTTACCTTCCACATAATGGTAAGACATTAGCTAAATGAAGACTTGACACTCAGGTCTTGCTATTATGTGTGAAGTATTTCTACCTCACCTTGCATAAATGCAAAATTTGTATAAAATTTGTTAGCTTTCTAGATTTTCTTTATCCTTCTTGGGGAATTGTTACCTATCATAAACTCTTCACTTGACAAATTAACAATACAAGTTATGTTCTGTACCAGGTATACATTTAAGCTTAAAAAAAATCAAGCAAATTGCTGTAAATTGCCCTATTCTGGATTTGATGCTTAATGATTCTTCTGGCAACATTAAGTCTGAGGTGAATTGCAAATGTCTGGGTAAAATGTCACTAGCACCAATGCAATGGTAAAATTTGCCTCTAAAGATATTTAAGTTTTTTTTTTTTTTTTTTTAACTTCACTCCATCTTTCTCCACTCTCACAATATTTTCTTTACCAATATAAATTCTTACTCTAGGCATATTGTTGAATTGTGTTCTTCATAAATACTATGGCAAGATAAGTGGCATTGTATGCTATATATATATATATATATATATATATATATATATATATATAATAACTTTAAGCTGATTAATGTCCATATTGATAAATCTGAGGTGGGCATCAATTGGTGCAAATGCTCAATCTAACTGCTCTGTTAATTCAGCTTAAGTATTTTACAGCTGATTTATTTTCCTCCTTGTTGAAATGGTGAACTAACGGAAAACCTGACATGGGATAAAATGCATTGAAATCATGCTTAAGGCTGAATATTATTTTTACCTCTAGTTTGAAAGTTCTTTGCTTTTTTTTATAATAGCAGATAAAAGGGATGTAGGTAGTTTAAAAACAATCACATTTGCTACAACAGATCCTCTTAAAGAGTCATTTGTTTTCCCTCATTCTTTGCAAAGTATTAATTATATGATGTGGCCAAATGGTCATGAATTTGTAGTTTTAAGAATACAAAATCTTTCTCTTTCTGGTTTTATAAGCATTCCAACAATTGTCATTTTACTATTCTCATGGTCAGTAAATTGTAGATCTTTACCTAACTTAAGATTTTGAAAAAGCAATTTTATTTATACTTTAACCCTTTCAAGCCCACATTCGCATAATTGATGTATACAGCAAAAGTTTTTCGGTTGACATATTTAAATGACTTTGACTTAGAAAAATAGTTTTATTGAATGTATTGTAACTATAGCAATGAGATACTGTCTACTTTATCCCATGTCAATGTGTTTTGGGGGCAATTATGTCCTAGGGACTTAAAAGGGGTTACGGCAATTTATACTTATTGCATAAATGAGATAATCTCAACTGATTCATATTTGGTTAAATCAGATAATATCAGTAACTTTAATCCTCATCTGCAAAGTTTCATTATTTTCTAAAATTTTGATTTGGTACCAGTTAAGTGTATTGTAATGTCTTGTTTTCAATGTCAAAACATTGCCAAAGTAAGTCTGTTAATTTCTTTCTGGCTCTATGGTAAATGGATCATGGTTCCTTTCTGAATGAGTCCTTAAATATTGCCTCTATTTAATCCTATACAATTTTTTTCTTGGAAACTATAGAAATGCAAAATTATAACATCTACCTATATACATATCTTTTTTGCTGCTAGGATTAAACTCTCAAAAGATGGGTCCTGTCTGAGACTTTATCTGGAATGATTTGAGACAAGATTTTTCAAAATCAGATTGTCTATGAGGTGTTTGAAAGACAATAGTATTTTTATTGAGGCACCTTGTCTTGACAGGGGTTGTTTTTTTTTTCTCTCTCTTAAATGGCACCTTCATCAACAAAGACTGGGATGACTTTCCAAATTTTAATTGGGAGAGAATCTTTAAATAGAAAATACAGAATAATTATTGCTGCTTATTGCATGGCTTTTCTCGTATGGTGAATAGTTAATTTTCTAATGGTGTTCTGCAAAACTTGGATTTTCAATTGATTTGTGGATTTAAAGGCTATCTACATGAATCTACATGAACAAAGTAGTTTAATAAAAACAGGTATCTGTTAATATGAAGTAAT